TCAAAATTCACTCACTAAATCCAAAACTATGTGCATACAGTGACTATAAACAGCAAATGGGAGGCCATAAACAATCCTTTTACATCTTTTACTGCTTTAAGTTCTTTGATGCAGTCACATGGGGATGTAAATGCCCCATTGTTTCCTTATAAGCATTTAAAAACAAGAATAGAGATATATTTATGCTTCCCGTGTCTATTGACTTAAGCACCAACATGTCAGGTGTGGTTACATCCTTTTTTTTTTATATGTGAAAGAACAAGTTTTTTTAACAGCAAGAGATATAGTGTGTGCACAACATTTATTATCTGATCTGAACTTAATACTGTAAAAATGTCTCTTTTTGTCACCTTTTGGTCATGTAAACAATTATTTTTAAAGCTATTCTGAAAGCCAAACATGTTTAAACCCCAGCTCTGACATACATTTACACAGTATGGTTGATGATTTAGATTTTTATGACGGGATAAAATGTCTGCAGATACACAGCGAGGGTGGGAAGTGCTGCAGTCGTAAAAAGAGGAGGCTTCATATGCGGCTGTGTGAGATCGGAGACTCCCTCCAACAGAGGCAAGAACAACACAGTCACAGTACACAATTGCGGCTTTACAAACATTTAAAACTAGAACGTTTTATTAATTTTTCTATAAAATCTGAAGTTTTTAGAAATATATACAAACGTTCCCTTGTGCTATAAAACAGCAAAGACAGAAAAAAAAGGAAAACTCAACTGCATGTACAAATAACTTTTCAATAACGAGTGCTTGATTAATTTATGGCATGGATTTGCCTCACAATGGGCAGTTCGTAAGGTCTTGAGCGCTTTTCAACAGCTGCTCTCACTCCAGTTCAAACATATATGACACTGCCTCGATTTCCATTAAAAAGCCTCCAAACAGAACACTCATCTCTCTGACCATTTGCCTGCTTTGTCTGCGGGGTCCTTTCATTGTCTGTAATCTGTCACTAACAGTACAAGTGTCTTTTTTTTGCCTGTAAGGAAAACATCTATTGCACATTATTCAAGTAACCCCATAGCACATCCAAATGGTTTATTCCACTCTTTTTGTCTTGGGAACAATAAGATTTTTTTTTTCTCTACCAAGTTCCTCAATAGGATAAGTGAATCCAGGAGTAGCAGATTTTTTCTCAAACAAAGGCAGCTCTTGTTGCATGAGATGGCTCAAGATACAAAAAAACCCCATGATCTTCAATGGAGTTTGCATAAATAAAACAGAAACCTTGATGCTTTTGATGGCACTCTGATTACAAAGTCTCGTTTAGGTAAGGGCTTTACACATAGAGGTTTGTACAAAGATATCCAGCTCATACACATGTTGGAGGGGGCCGTGTAGGCTCATACTTAGTACTGTGCCCTTTGAGAGATGGGTGAGGTTTGATGTAAGGCCTGCTGCTGGTGAACACACTGGCAGCCTTCCTCCTCGTCCTCTTCTTTAGCTTCCTGCTGAACACATTCTGCCAGGACTGCAGTGTCTTTGAGGTCCAGATCCACATGCCGCTGGTGATGCCCACCACCAACAGCATGAAGATCTTCACCATGAAGATCTCAACAGCGGGAATGGAATTCTTCATGGCACACTCGTCTGACTCCGGCCCGTTGTTGTCCACGCACTTCTGCTCCGCTGCCAGGATCCGCCAGTAGTCCATGTTGAGCCTCTCGTAGAAGTAGCAGGCGATGACGCAGGTGGCAGGGACAGTGTAGAGCACAGAGAAGACCCCGATGCGAACCATCAGCTTCTCGAGCTTGTCTGTGTTCTCTCCCTCTGTTTTCATTATCTTACGGATGTGGAAGAGGGCCACAAAGCCCGACAGCAGGAATGAAGTGCCAATAATAAGGTAGCAGGAGAGGGGAATGAGCACAAAGCCCGTGAGAGCTTTGACGTCCATGCTGCCCACGTAGCAGACGCCCGTCAGCTCGTCCCCCGCCACCTTCCTCATCACCAGGATCATGATGGTCTTTACGGCCGGGATGGCCCAAGCTGCCAGGTGGAAGTAGCTGCTGTTGGCCTCGATGGCCTCGTGACCCCACTTCTTCCCCGCTGCAAGGAACCATGTGAGGGTCAGGATAACCCACCAGAGGGAGCTGGCCATGCCAAAATAATACAGGATGAGGAACACAATAGTGCAGCCGGTGCTCTCCAGACCCTCCTGGATAATATACTGGACCCCATTGTCTTTGTCACAGGCTATTCTGTCAGCTCCCACAAAGAGTCGGATAAGGTAGCCCACAGAGTAAACACAGTAGGACATAGAGAGGAAGATGATCGGCCTCTCCGGGTATTTGAATCTCTGCGGGTCTATGAGGAAAGTGAGCACGGTGAAGGCGCTGGAGACAAAGCAGAGGATGGACCAGATAGCCATCCACACCAGAGAGAACTGCTTGTCTCCCTGGCTCCAGTATACATCCACTTTAGGGTAGCATTTAGGGGCACATGACTCACTTTTCTCCACAAAGTGGAACTTGCCAGGATTGCTGCAGGTCTGCTTGCTGATGCTGTCCTTAAGGTGCAGGTCCTGGCCGCTCAGAGGCCGCTGTGGCCTGAAATCTGGAGGCTGGGTGTGGAAGACTTTGGGAGGCTCATCTGAGGCGTTGTTGGGCGCCTCCATGCAGAGGTTGTTTGGGTCGTTTTTGGTCGGCAGCCGGGAGCAGTCCAGAGAGTCAGGCCAGGGGAAGTTAAACTGCTCCAAGATAGGTGAGCATTTCAGCTTGACCTGCTCACACATCACTCTGCATGCTGGGATGGGGTTGGACACCTGCTCTGTACACATGGGGGCATACAGGGAACACAGGAAAAATTTGAGATGGCTGTGGCATCCAAACTGTATCAGCGTGGCAAACTCCTGCAGCTTTATCGCTGCTTCTTTTTGGTCATCATGGCCCATGAGATTTGGCATGCGAGTCATGTTGTAGCCAATGTCTTTACACTGGGGGATGTTGATCTGTTGACATCTCCCCTCTCCTGACCAGTCTGGGTCTATAGAGCTAATGGCTGACCCCCCACTGCTCCACAGCACCAGCAGCACATAGATGAGGCTCAGTTGAACAGTTGAAGGCATTCTCTCCTCTTTGATTTAAAGAAGAAAAAAAAAATCAGGCCAAATGTTCACCACAAAACACAAGTTTCTTTCATTAAAAAGTCAGAGATGAAATCTGGCTGTGTCAGATAAATGTGGAAAAACTTACACAACTATCTGTTGCACGACCAAGTCCTCATTTTAGGTTTGGAGGGTTTAATTGAAACAGAAATCCAGCAACAGTCCGAGCATGTTTTCTGGCTGGAAGTAGCGCGCGTTCAGGTCCATGCTTTCATGCGCTCTCCCAAGTGTTGGATCTACTTGTTCAGCCTCTTGCGCCGTTGTCTCAGTCAGCAGAGAGTACAACAGAGTGGCTATGTGCTCCGATTTGTTCCCTGCTCGTTCCCACAAGACTCACTTTCCCAGTCCTCACGTTTCATATCACTTTTCCGGAGTCTCTGTCTCCGTATCGGTGTGCTATCACTCCTTCTGCAACAACTTGGAAAAAAACAACAAAAATATTTCTCCTCCAGTCCTTATTTGTGCGGCGGGGATGGCTGCTCAACAAGGCACCGAAACAATCAGTCAGTCAGCAAAATAAGTGCAATAAACATCCTCGTTGATTCTAATAAATGTGTCCCAAAAACGCAGGATTACGCTCCTCCTGCGAGCAGCCAGTTGATGCGTTTGGTGGCAGTGCTCGTCTGAGCTGGTCGGAGCCTCCGTCCCGGTCTAACCTGCCAAAAGATCCGCCTTCAAAGACAGCTACTTTGCATAAGAAAGATGACACTGACACGCGGATTATTTTCAAATCGTGCGGAACAGCTTGTTCATTACAGCAGATTCAAAGGCTCACAGCGAACTTCCTTCTCTCTGTTTGTTTGTGCTCAGGCACAAAACTTTGACTACGACAGGACAGAGACACGTTTTATGAGATTCCCAAAATGTTGCGCAATATGGCTCACAGGCGCACCGAGGCGCACCAGAAGCACAGCTTTGGTTAATTGCACATGGGAGACTCTTTTATTCTTTTCCTCCCTGTTAATGCCTTCCACCAAGTTTTAGAATTCATCTCACCTCCTATAAAATAGCAGATAAAACGCTGACAAACAGATCATATGTACAGTTTTAAAATCCATGCTTTTCTGTGCAGTTGATCAACATTTTCTTACATGTTTTGGACCAGTACAACCTTTAATGTTCATATATATTTCTAATTATGCCTTAAATTATGAGCGAATCCATATTAAAACTAGAGTAGTATATTATTACATTTTGTATTTTAAGCATTTGTAGTGTTTAAATATTGCAGCTTCTCTTGCAGGTTGAGGTGAAGTTGAGCTACTTTATATACTGTTTTTATAGTTTACTCACTAAAAATGCATCATATTTAATTAGTTGATATATGTCAGAGCCCAAAGGAACTTGAAACAGAAAGTACAAAGTATAAAACTTAAGTATATAAGTACAAGTACCTCAAATTTGCCCTTAGGATCAGTGCTTGAGTAAATGTTAAATGTTACTTTCCATCACTGACAACGTCTTTTAGACTGACAGGAACCATCCACAGTAAAACATATGATGATCATAGACTAGACCCTTCAATACCATACCAGCCAAATGAAAGCTGATCAGTTTAAGATGAAAATGATGACATGCATGAGGAAGATAAATGAGGCAAAGACCCACTGACTGCGAGTACAAGCTGCAGATGGGTTTACCCCATTTTATAACTCAATTCAAAGCTTTACTCATTCCTTATAGGCAAACAATATCCACACACACCAAGACAATAGAAGCAAAACAGTTTAAAATAACATCTGCATTCTGTTGACAAAGAGATTGTCTGCACACTGTATGAAACTTCAGCGTGTTGATAAAAGCGTATCCCATTTTAGGATCCGTTTAGAGTTTAGTCGTGCAGAGATCAGCGTGTTCTGGCCAATATTGTTAGTGCGAAATTCAACAACACACTGGAGTCATTTCCTGTCTTTTTCAATGAAGGAAGTGATCCAATAAACAAATAAGAAGGTTAAATTCCTTTTAAAAATCAGCCTAAAGTGTTGACATTGTTCCATTGTGAAGCTCAGAGGAGCTCGCATCAATAATTCAGCTACCGTTTCTCACTTTCACATCTATATTCTCGCCAATTTTGGTGTTTTCACCATTTTGGCGGGTTGTCCATTTCCTCAGTTGTTTTACACTAAAATGATCTCTCATGACTATCTACAGTCTTTTAAGTTTTAGCCAGATTAGCTCAGAGTGATATCACAAATGAACCCTTAAATACACCCTTATTTACACACTTGTTTTAGAATTTTAAATCACGGACAACTCTCCATGTGCCCTCTATGAATCAGTTATTTACAGTCACTGATTCTGAAAGTTTGTTCCACAGTGAGTGCAGAGCTGCTGGCCTTACAGACACTGATAGTTGTTTCAGTCTTTACTTCTTTACAAGCTTCAATTTTTAGGTTGAACGTTTCTCTGAGTGTTCGTGGGACTTCGCTCCGGAGAGTATTTCTGTGCGTGAAGATTTATCATACTGTATAAGCTGGGTGATGAAACATCATAAATCAGAGAAAGATATTTCTAATAAAAAATTTATGAATTCATCATATTACTCAACAAAATTCCTACAGCGCAGCGTCCATCTCAGTGGCCGCTCTCGGGTGGAGGAAGAGGCACTAACAAGTGTTGTTTGGCGTTGATTCACTTCAGCTTCCTCCAAAATAATTGTTTATCTTTTGAGATTATTTTTTTATGATTGCATGCTGAATCAGTGGAGTGGAGTTTTTTGCATCTTGACCTCATGTGTGGGTTTCCTTCTAGTGCCACTACGCCTTCCTCTCATGCTCCGAAGTTGTGCAGTTTTTGGTGAAATCTCCCCATGAGTGTGGATGTGTTGCACTTACTATCTGGCCTGTAGCTTCCATTGAGCAGGGACACTGGAAGTCAGTCAGAATTGGGATAAATGCTAATGCTAAATGCATGGCATTCATGGTTTTGTAAATTAATTTAAATGGACAGGATCAATTCTAGCCTATTTAATAGATATTACTGTTGCTATTACTATATAAAACCCTCTTTCCTTAAAAAAAAAAAAACAGTGTACACATGTAAATCCCAGTAAAAAAGTAGAAAGTTATTATAAATGTAACCATTTTTATGAACTAATGGTTTTTATTATGCCAAATTTTAGGGGGTGCCCCCCCCCTTAGCACCGCTACTTCCAGCACCCATGCCTTTAAATTTAAATAAAAAATTTCCAGCACCTCTTTCTGCTCTTGTCTTGCACACCATGTAAAACTGGCTAACACACACACAAATGATAATAATTACACCTGTGCAGTGAGCTACAACACAATTTCCACATATGTATTGTCACTGACATTATTTCTTCTGTGATTGTTACCCTTAAAATGCATTGCCCTACCAGGGCTAGGACTCACTTATTTCTAAAATTCCTTGCTACGGCCCTGCTCGCTATGTATGCGTTACCTTGTGATAAACTGCCCCGTCTATATCCTGTCTCTTGCATGGGGCAGGCTCCAGACCCCCGTGACCCTGGACAGGATAAGTGCCTCAGAAAATGAATGGATGGACAGGCTTTTATTAGCCTGTTAAAGCGAAACAATTCCTGTAGAGAGCTGGCCTACATGGGACACAGCAGCTCCAAAGTCACAGCGCGTCATAAAATAAACCCAACACAACATATCCACACAGACTGCTGCAATAAACGGCATAAGCGAACCCTGATGATGCATTGTTGCTACAGTGAGTGAAACCTCCATCTTGGTTTTATGTTGGCTGAGAGAGGAGCCGGTTATGAGGCCTTCTTCACTTTTTTATGTGTGAGATCCTCCAGACCTCACTCGCATTACCTTGTAAAAAGTTTGTGGCGGTAAGATTTATACTCTGGCCCGGGCCATGGTCTTCATCAAGGGTGAAATACTGATCACAAGCAAACAGGAGTGCTTTTAGTATATTTTTACTAGAGTCACTAAAGTGCTTTTAAGTATTTCAGAAATGTGTCCGGGCAAGATGAGAAACCTGGCACCAGCATGCCTAAATGGTTTAAGCACAGCGTATCTTAGTGGTGGCATTTCAGCTGTTAGCGCTCAGTGTGTGGAGTAGGAGCATAAATATAGGTTATGAATACACTTATGAACACAATGCCCTCCTCCTATGCAGCACATGTGCTTCTCAGATATCCAGCTGTTAACGTTTGAAGACGTTTTGGTCCAAACTTGAGGAGAAAATGTCTGTACATCACTTCATTTCACAAAGTCATATTATTATATTTAATTTTTCAGCTGCTAATGTGCTGCCTTTTAATTAAAACCATTTTGGTGGGAAACTCATCATGCAATGCGAATCATTTTCCTTTGTCAAAAAAGAGCCCAGATGCAGTAGCAGCATGCATTTCATACATCCTGACCCCTCAAAAAGACAAGGACAACAGCTGACATGCCTGCCCCTTCCCCCCCTCTCCACTAGACTTTTATAATGGAGCTGATGTGTAGGAGTAGAACAAAAAGAGATGACAGCTTTAATGTGAAGAAGAATAATGTAATATCAATGCAGTGCAGAGCCGCGGCCAGCTCTGCTCTCCATTTACTGATCATCCGGCTTTCAGGAAACCCTGTCTGGCATATTTTAAAACAAATATCTGCCTTTATTATCGCTGCCTTTGGTGTAATGAAGCTGACAAGATAATGCTGTCACACAGTCTAATAAGAAGACACAGTCTACTGGTTTGTTGTAATTCCTCATCTTTGTTCTGTCTTTCCTCCTGCCTCCCTCTCTTTCATGATTGTTTTGCTGGTCATGATGATATCTCTTTGAAAATGAGAAGAAAAGGGGAGGTATCGGGCCTGCTCACTCTTTAGCATCTGTAGCCACTGCAGCTACCACTCTCTTTTATGATTTTTTTCTTGTCTACCACCCCTTGTTTTCATATACAACCCCCTCCTATATAGCTCATTTCTACTCACACATGTGCATAACACACACACACACACACACACACACACACACACACACACGGCAACTT